AGAGGGGAACATCATGAAGAAGTATGCAGATCACGTGGCACGTATTGGTTCTAGGGATAAAGCAGTTGAGGTATACGAGGAAGCAGTTCAAGGAATGACATCTTTGGTAGACATGTGGATGTACTACTGCGTAATTGCCAGAAAAAGCTATGGAAATCCTGAAACAATTAGAAGGTTGTTTGAAAGAGAGTTGGTGTGTGTGGGAACAAACTATTTAACATTTCCTTGGTGGGAGAAGTGCTTTGAGTATGGGCATAAACAACAATCAGGGTCACATGTCACTGCAATTTTTGCACAGCTTCTGGAAATTCCAAATGAACAGTTAGATTGCTACTTTGAAGATTTTAAGGTGTTGGTTAACAGTAGGCCACTATCAGAATGGCGAACTGATGAAGAAAAGGAATCAGCAGCAGTTTATGCTGGCTCGGAAACCACCATTGTGTTAAGAACCTGCGTTAATGATCTCGTCCAGGGACGAGAGTGTTTCTGTAATTCAGAGGGAAGGTAATTGACTGGGAAGGAATCTATGACTTCTGAAGAATTGAAATCTTAAGCAGGAATTAAATTGATGTCCGACCTAGTCAAGACACACAAAATTAATTCTTCCAAAAGTTCCTTTATTGATAATAATAATGACCCTTATATAGAGGCTGAAACAAGAGGCCTAAGGCAATTAATAATTAGGCAGTTGCCTAAAACTAAAATAGGAATACTAGAACAATTAGTCAGTTGCCTAAAACTGAAATAGGAATAATAGTATAAATAGGAAGTTGCCTAAAACTGAAATAGGAATAATAGTAATAACTAATTAATAGTTTTCTTTCAGCCACTTTGTTTCTCGATATAGTTGGGCCCATGGTCCGAGTATGAATCTGCAACGTTCTGGGCTCGTTCTTGGCCCTGTCGCCTTCTGTATTGTTTGCCCCAGAATGCATCCGTAACACATTGATGCCAGAACGGTTGGTGAAAATGTTAGGGGAATGACAGCAGTTTGTATTCTTGTGCTAGATGGAGGTGTAGGTTTTGACACCCAGTCTCATATGGCAATTGCTGATACAAAGATCAAGATTCTCTGGAAAAGAGATGAAGATTGGGAAAGGGTAACATGGTTCACACACTTACTAATAGAAGAGAGATGGAGAAGAGGGTTTATGCTGAAAGTCGGGGCAAAGCTCTGGTGGGTGACGGTGTGGTAATATTCCTGGGTGCTTTGGCAAAGTTATTGGTGCAGGGTGATCCACAGAATATTGCATTTGAAGAATCAATTTTCACTCAATCAGATGCCAAGCTGGGGATGATAGTAAAGGGTAAAGTTATTACTGTTGAATTGGTTAAACCGGGAAATGTCATTTCTGGAACCATTGATATAGTTACTCCTGATGCTCCAATTTGTTTGAAAGGAAAGATTCTTCCAGAACATTTATACGATGCTAGTAATCTTGCTGAGTTAGGGAAGTTTATCTTGAAACCTGGGTTTGAAATTTACCAGCTTTTGGTTCTTGATGTTGAAGTTTGCAAATTTGTACTTTCTGCCAAGTACGCAATAAGCAGCACGTCTCAGCATTTTCCCTTGGATTTTAGTCAAACCTTAACTAATTTTTTGGGAGAAAAGGCTGGAAACTATGTGGAACATTATAACGAAGTCAGGGAAAAGGTGAAATTGAAGCAAGGAGTGAATATTCCCTCCCATGTCTCTTTCTGGGGAAGGAAATGGTTACCTGCAAGCAGACCAATTTTGCAAGCTTTATATAGAAGTTAGGCATTCATGTTCCATAGTTATGAGAACTGCTGCTGCGTTGAAAGATAAAGGGGTGAAAGGGTATCTTGAATATCTGCCTACACTTCGAATTTCAGGAATTCAAGCTGTTAGGATCTTGAATTTAGAAAATGAAGTAAAGGGGATTACTGAATCGGTAGTAATATGTGAAAAGGATGACATGTACAATGAGTTGAGCAACATCGAATAGGCATCCTGTACATTGATAGTTTCAGAAGACAGAAAATATGAGGAGATTCAGGAAAGCAAAGAAACATTTGTCACTATTGAGTGCTTGAAGGCTACTGAGGAGATTGAAACTTCCTTGGACATATCTTCTGCTGCAAAAACATATGTGACGTTGAAGGATCAAGTACTGAATCTTCTGGTTCAGCAATCCGGGAGATACTGGAAAGGAAGAGGCGCCAAGATGAAGCTGATTTCCCGGGCTGTTTCCTATCACCCACCTTGAGGACAAGGTGATTGTCAAGGGTGGAGCGATGATAGGGACCTAGATAGTGATAGTGATAAAAATAAGTGTCTTTTAATAGTGTGTAATAAAAGAGGTTTAGGCCTTGTTACTAAATAACAGTGGGCTGGCCCATAAGGAATATGATAAATATGTGTTGGGGACTTGGGGCGTAGAATAAGGTAGGCGGAAATTGGGTATAGACTAGGAATTGGGAGAGGGAGACTGCTCTAAGTGTCTCAAATCTGTTCTTTGTTATTTCTGTTCTCAAATCTGATGTTGGATCAATATGTTACTATATTTCTACTGCGTTTGTTGAGGTCTCTAACATTGGCACTCTCAAACTTGCCTCTCTACTTCTTCTATTACTTTTCTTCTGTTGCTTTGGGATATCTGAGGAGTTCTCAGAATTCCTTGATTGAGTATACTACTGTTTTTTCTGTTTGGAACGATCTCTATCAGAGATTAAGTTTTTTAAATATACAGCCCTACAAGATGAAAAACCTAGCAAAAAGACTGAATCAGAAGATGAGTCCCAAATTCTACGGTCCTTTTGAGATCATAGAAAAGATCAACCCAGTGGCTTTTAAGCTCAAGTTGCATGAAGATAGTAAAATACATCCTGTATTTCACATATCCTTGCTCAAGAAGGTGTTGACTCCTACAACTTTTTACCAAGATCTCTCTAAATGCCTAAATGAAGAGTGGGAACTTCATGTGCTGCCAGAAAAGGTAAAGGATACCAGAATTAATACTGAAAGAGAAGGAGAAGTGCTGATACGTTGGAAGGATCTCCCAGATTTTGAAGACTCATGGGAAACGATTAATCCAAGAGCAGTTTCCAGAATTCCACCTTGAGGACAAGGTGGATTTTCAGGGGGGGGTATTGATAGGGATATATCTGTAAAGAATAAAAATGATAAGTACTTTCGGAGAGTCTATTATAGAAGAGGAAAGAATAACAGTTAGTTGTTAGTTAATGTGCTGGCAATTTCTGTTATTAGCTTTGAAGGTATAAATAACTAGTCTGGGAAGGGAAATAGCAGGCTGTTAGACAGTTAGTTGGGACTGGGAAGATTAGAGATACTGTCTCTTTTCTTTGGGACTTGTTGTACTTGCTTTCACCATTAATGAAGCTTGAGATTGTTTCTTGAGTACTATTTTCATCTTTTCTGTAATCTTACCTACCGGCGAGAGTCCTATCAGTTTCTTCCATGAACATTTGTTCTTCCTTTCAACAGATAGTTCATCCCCATAACGAATAAAAAATTACAGCTTTGAGCCTCAGTATGAGAAATAGTGGGTGTTCATTAAGATTATTGGCTTTGGTTGTTATAGAACTATCAAGGAATTTATTCTTTCTGAGTATGGATGCAAATTAAAGACACAGTAAAAGCTCCCTGCAATAGCAGTCGCCTGATAGCTGATTTAATCTTTTAAAATATTAGGATAATGCAAAACTACTCTTGGATTATGATAAAATATAAAATAAAAACTAAAAGCCCCAGGGTTTAACTTATTAGCCTCGGGCAGTTGGGCCGATTATTTCTTTACATTTGCAATATTAGTATTCAAAAGTAACCAAGTTGTAAGTTATGAGTTCTCTGTACATGGAGTTGTTTCATTTAACATGGTACCAGAGACCACTCCTAAAAAAATTAAGTATACATGTGATCAAAACCCTAGTTGTCCTATTTTCCACGGTGAGCAAAACACGTGAGCTGCCTCTACGCTTCAATGCATCTCAAACATTGTTTGATAAAAACAATATTATCACTTCACACGGATTCACTACAAGAGCTACACCAAAAAGTCCACAACTAGTTCCTTCAACACATGTTGTAACGTGCCACAAACCTCCATGCAACTTCTATACACATGTCTTTACGTGATGCCGGTGATGCCAGGTGAGGCTAACTATGGTCACAGTTTTAAAGGAAACACTCCCGTTCTAATCACGGTATATGGTGACGCTCCTAGATCCCTTAAAAATTTAATTAATTTAGGGTAACAGGTAACTATATGAAAATATGCAGTTATCACCCTGTAGAAATACCTGGTTTCAGGTATGTAATTTTTTTAGGGGGGGTGGGGGGGAAATCAATATCTACAATTTTGAATTAGTTAGATTTTAAATAAAAAGAGGGAGAAAAAAACAGTAATGTCAAAGTACAAGTTGAGAATGCTGGTATGGGAACTAGTGGTAAATTCAAAACACTTAGTGGATGGTTCTGTGGGCACCAAAAAACAAGTTCAAGTGAGTTCAACTTAAACTGTTCCAGTCAAGAGCAAGTTTCCAGCTATTAATATAAAGTTTAAGTGTAAATTTTAAGCTTGGAGCATATGACACTATAGCTAGAGGGGGAAGGGGATAGGTTAAGAAACCCTAACTTCTTTATCCAAGATGAGTATTAATCTTTAGAAGTAATCAAGTTTTATATCAACGAGACTGTTTGTTAAAGTTTTCTCAGACACATCACATATGCTTCTCTCTTTTTTGGTGAATCTACCATTTTTCCTTTGTGAAAAATCATTTTGCGATGTATGGATGTGTATACATGTGCACCTACGTGGAAAAAAACAGAAATCATGCTCCCCTGACAGAACCATTCACTTGACGATACACTTATACAAGACCCTTACCCTACACTTAAAGTAAACCTTTGCTCAAAAAGTCAACCGCTGTCATCTACCCAACTCTTGCAGCAGCACTTTTCATTCAAAATTATGAATGAAGGCCCACAATAAGATAAAAATAGGAAAGGAGCAGCATACCAAATTGTACTCACAGCTTTCTTCACATGCATCTAATATCGAATGAAATGCCTCTATCGATAAAGTTAAACCCTGCTTATGCATCTGATCCACTAAATCAAGCGCAATGTGTACCTAAATTGCAAAAACAGTAAGAAATAATGAAAAGTGAATAAACCTCATACTGCTGCAGCTTGCATATCCACTTAGGGGAACAATGTAACTTGCATCAAGAAGTTACCACTCACTACCATGATTAAGAAGCTTTTCAATTAGTCTTACTCTTATTAGTTATTGTGTATTCTTATTTAACAAGATCGGATCAGAAAGATCCATATCAGGTAACAAAGATCTAGATCACAATGTCAAATTAGTATTCTTATTTTTGAATATTATTAATTATATGCATTTTTTCCATCATTTGCAATGGAGTCAAAGATTCATTATTTTTTGGCTTGAGATTATGATGGAATAAAGCAAAATGGCTCACTAAACTGTCTGCGCTTCTTTGTAATGAAGCAGCAGTCAGTCCATGCAATTTTGGACGCGATTTTCACTATGGGTCATCCGGAAACAGTCTCTCTGTGCTTTAGGATAGGGGTAAGACTGCGTACATCCGACCCCCCCTTAACCCACTGTAGGTGGGAGCCTTTGCGGCACTGGGGTAAATGAAAATGATGATGATTAATTATATGCATTACTGTTATTATTAATAATAATCATTATTATGTTTTGATATATCAATTGTCATTTTGATCATCATTACTCCCTCTATATTTATTTGTTTGCTACACTTTCCTTTTTGAGAAATTTTTTATTTGCTACACTTCCCCTTTTTGGTAAGATTACCCTTTAAAAATACTCAATCACCCTTACTTTTTCTACTTTTCATATTCTATTTCATACTTTCTCACCTTCTCTCCTACTTTTTCTACACTATTCAATACCCATACTATTTTTCCCTGAAATGTTGTGACAAACCCTATTGCAGCAAACAATAGAATACAGGGGGATATTTCATTATTACATTTATTTATTATTGGGTGAATTTATATTGTATTGGTTTATTCAACAAATAAGAAAATCTATTCTGTTTCATCACAAATCATATATTTTATTTTAATAAATTTGTTTTAGGTAACGCTCTTATTATTATCAATATTATTACTATTATTATTGTGTTAATAGTATTAATAAATATAAGTATAATTTTGAAAAGTATTATTATTAATAATACAATGGTGATCATTATGACATTAATTAATTACAATAACAATAATAACAAATCTTATGTTTTTTATCCTTTTATCTTTTTTATATACACACACACAGATATATATATATATATATATATATATTCTTTTTATCCTTTTTATCTTATCATTTTTATGCATATCTTATCTCTATTTTATCTTACCTTTTTTTATCTTTTCTATCATACCTTATATTTTTATATATCTTATCTTTCCTTTCCTTTTGGCTACGATATCATGTATCCATTCATGTTAGCTGACCCCAAAATCTTTTGGGACTAAGGCTTGGGTGTCATTATTGTTGTACAATAATAACAAACTAATCATAACAATAGTTACAATAATGACAACCATAGCAGCAGTAGAGTGATAATATTAATATAAGGCAGCCCGGTGCACATTGGCGTCCCCGCAAGGCGAGGGTCTAGGGAAGGGTTCCACCACAAGGGTGTATAAGGGGCAAGCCTTCCCTTGCCATTTTTGACAAGAGGCTGCTCCCAAGATGTAGTAGTGGTAATATTAATAATAGGGAAAAATTAATAATAATAATAATAATAATAATAGTAGTAGTGGTAATACTGTAATAGTAATCTTAAAATTAATTTTAATATGACTTGAATAAGTTAAGAATTATTACAAAAGGGCGTGAAGCAATAAGCTCGGATAACAAATATTCGGATTATATAAGAAAGATTCGGATCAAATAAGAAACATTCAGAACATATCAGAAAGACTAAGACTAGATCAGGAATATTTAGATCTGAAAAATTCATTTCAGTTCAAAAAAATGTCTTAGTCATGCTTCTTATCATAAACGTTTAGATTAGACCAACTGAACCACTTCAAAGAATAAAGGCAGTGACCCAAATTATTCTTCAACAATGTACTTACTCCCTCGTCCCAAAATAATAGTTACTTATTTTCTCTTTGGGTTGTCCACTTGTCCCAAAATAAAGGTTAAATTTCTTTTTTGGCAAACTATCCTACCTAACATTCATACCTTCCTTTTACTAAATTTACAACTTTGCCAATGCACTTTACTTACTTTTTTACTGCTACGGTAAAAGCAAATGATACTTTAGGTATTTTACCTCACTTTCTTAGTGTATGTGCCTAAGCAAAAAGATAAAATGTCACTATTAATTTGGGATGGAGGTAGTAAAACTTATTAAGTATGATATTACCTTACATGATTCACAAGATAACTTAATGAGCCTCGAATACTGCGCAGATGTAGGTGTCACATCCATGTCGTCATGCAATACTTTGAAATTACGAGCAACATCTTCAACCTTTCCGTCCATAAACAAAGTCAATTAGAGCAGAGTAGGATAGAAAACAATCAAAAAGTGGAAGATAAAAGTATATGTATAGGAAATTACTAAAAGCATTCATAATAAGTTGCTCACCGCTAAATTAGGGACATTTGTACTGTATTCAAAGATGAGGCTTAGGATGTTCTCTCCTTCAATATCTGGATAGTGAGATGTTGTATAAAGAAGCGAGTTAAGCATTGTATCAAGTATTAATGCCAGATAAATAAACTATATCTCAATGACTAAAAAGAGTTTTGCCACTTTTGGTCCCTCGAGTATTGTGTGAGTGACACTTTTGGTACATGACTTTTAATTTTTCCATTTTTAGTCCTCAACTATTGTGTGAGAGACACTTTTAGTCCTCTACTTTCAAGTTTCCCACATTTAGTCCTTTGAGTATTATCAAATTGACACTTTTAGTCCTTCTACTATGATTTTGACACAATAAGTGGAGGACTAAAAATGTCTCTATTGCAATAGTTGAAGGACCAAAAGTGTCACTTTTACAAAAGTCGAAGGGCTAAATACGGAAATTTTCAAAGATGGATACCAAAAGTGTCTCTCGCATTATAGTGAAGGACCAAAAATGGAAAAATTAAAAGTCGAGTACCAAAAGTGTCACTGACACAATAGTCGGGGGACTAAAAGTGGCAAAAACTCGACTAAAAATGGAATTGTCTCACAGAAAACAATTGGTTGTTACACATGTGCACAACGTTTACTAGAAAATATGAATCACAGATTAAACATTTAAACATTCACATTCTATTAAGTAATGTAATTTATATGTTCACTCTAAGATGTACGCCAATTTACCCAGCAAGTAATACACTACCTGCTTGTCAGCAGATACATGATTGTTAAGATAAATCATCACTCATCAGATGCAAAAAGCTTAGCAAAACAACTGTCTTATGCAACCCTCAGATTAAAAGGGAGCATGAATATATATGACCCCCACCACAAAAAAATAATGATGATGTGTTATATCTTACCAGTGCTTTTCAAATCCAGAAAAAACTTCTCTGCAATGTTCTGCAACATCAACTTCCCCAAGGCTTTGAAAATCTTTGTCAAGCTTTTCATAGAAGTAACTTTTGTAATGTCAAGAGTTTTGACAAGCTGCATAAACAACTCTTTAAGGTAGTCACCATCACACATTGCTAACAAATATGTTTCTGCAAAATTAGATAACTAGTAGTATTTTAGCTCCTCATATTGGACATTGATACAAATTTAAATTTTTTATGATGACAATAACACGACACATTTGATGATTTGAAGATACTCACCTCAGAAGATGATCTAACAAAAGTTATTTAACACTGTTATTTGTAAATTTTAAACATTAAACTCAAGAGTGGACCGCATGCATAACCAAAAGAATTCAAATTGTGTCAGGTAATATACAATGACATGTTCATGATTAACAAATAAAATATCTAGAAAGTATTAAGCCCCGTAAATTACAAACCTAGAAAAGTGTGTTTGTCTTCACCATCATAGAGTACAAGATTATAGCAGATTTCTTCTAAAGTATCATGATTATTGGTCTTTATCCAGAGCAGCATCTCATAGTAAGCTATATTTGGAATTGAATCATCATTTCCATCTCTTATGAGTTCACAGTAAAAGTGAAACTCTGGAACCATACCAAATTCCGTGAGATACATCAGAACTTGGCCATAAGAGTCTTCACATAATCGGAAACCCTGATCTCTCATTGATCTAAGAAATTTATATGCATTGGAAAGTTGCTTTAATGACTCTTCTTCATTGTCCATCATCCTAGCCTTTTCTATACAGCTCCTTATCAATGTATTATACTCTATCAGGCCGGTTTCGCGACCAAGTTTAGTGAACACCTCAACTGTAGCATCTGCACCAAGTTTATCAGCACACAATGCAATTAAGCGGTCCATGCGGGTATCTTGGCCAACCTTTGAAAACTTGAGCCTCCTTTCTCGTGAAACTTGTTTCTTGTGCATATATACATTACTATTTGAAATGTTGGAGAGCCACGGGGCTTCAAAAACATTTTCCGAAGTCGAAGAACCACTAGTCATTTGTGATTTTGGTGGATGTAACACATCTGAATCTACACATATGCAAGGCAACATGAAGATAGCAAGCATGATACACAACACATGATGAACTAACTACTAGAAAAAAGGTGAAGCAACTCTCCTTAAAAGTAGATCAAACATTTTCCACATTGATATATTACAGGGAAAAGGGTCAAATAGGCCCTCGAACTAACTTAAAAAGTGCAAATCAACCCTTATATAGGAGGCTAGCTCTGTCTGGCCGTCGCCATTTGGGGCGGTTCCCGATGGAATTTTTTGATGAAATTTTTTGAGCATCTTCTTCATTAAGTCTAGTTTACTCATACCAAATTTCAGCTAAAAAATCAATCGGGAATGAAGTCAAATGAATTTTTGAAGATAATTGCGCAGTTAAACAGCGCAGTACATTTCAGAAAATCATTTGACTATCTTCCTGGTTGAATTTTTATCTGAAACTTGGTATGGGTAAACTAGACTTAATGAAGAAGATGCTCCAAAAAATTTCATCAAACAATTCCACCGGGAACCACCTCAAATGGCGACGGACGGACAGGGCCTCCTATGTAAGGGGTGATTTGCACGTTTTAAGTTACTTCGAGGGCCTATTTGACCCTTTTCCCATATATTACATGGACACGACAGAAAAACCTTGTGGAAAAAACAGAGACTACTGCAAGAATGCTATATTTCGCATGCCCCGTTTAAAATGATTTTCCAGTTTCATCAAGCCAAGTGCAATAAATTAGCCAACCGAGAACAGTAAAGGATTAGCCCTATTAGTCCCGATGAAATGCATATGTCTACTCAATGTGTGCTATATGAAGAAATATGAAAGTGTGTTAGTCTTTCAATGAATCTGTTACTCATTTCCTAATCCTAGAAGGAGCTTTACATTAGGATGAATAGATGTATGATGTATCAATTGCTTTGTAATCCAACACGTCCATTTCAAATATATCTAGTGCATATTTGCTTATAAACTCAACGCTAATGTGTTTCCTATGTGACCTATACAAAAGTTTCAAGGAGCCCCATATGACTCCCTTACGGAATCATTGGGGGGTATCATGGCATAACAATAATCATTCATTTTTAATAGGGGACCCCACTAAAAATGAGTGGTTATTGTGATGCCATGATACCCATATGACTCCATAAGGGAGTCATGGAGTCATATGGGGCTCCATAAAACTACTTGTGACCTCTACACCAATCATATATTTTAGCTTACCAAGATCCTTGGTTTAAAAATGCTGAAATAAGTATGTCTTTGACAGGTTATGCCAGCTATATCATCCTGGTTATTACATTATCATCAAAAGAAAAAACCAGGTACACTTCTACATATTATTATTTCAATCGTTGGTCCTTAAAAACTGAGCTCAAATTTCTCTATGGCTCTACACATTTCTACATAATATCATTTCCCTTTGAGTAGGAGTATAATGGTTAGGCAGTTCACAATTTCAATTTATTGGTTTGCTAAGACCTATATGCAGTCAACTTCCTAAAGAGAGAAGCTCAGGAATTTGATTGATATACACTGATTGCATTAACTAGAATATAATTGAACAAATGTACAGGAAAAATCTAACTCGCTTTTTCAGAGAATACGCACCACACAATATGGAAGATAGGTCATGTAATAGCCGAAATTCTGGATCTTCTGTCACGAAAATAAGAAACAGATTAGCTATCTCGGAATATCCTACCTCAGCTGTCCTTAAAGTAAATAATGATGATACAACGAGAGGGTAATGCTAATGTACATGTAGCAATATGCGTACAGCTTCACAAACAGAGCTTCACTAGAAACTGAGCTATATCTAAATATCACGCCATACATCAACTTCCTTCTCACTTCCAGTCAGGGGTGGACCGTAGTAGAGACCAGGGGCTACTGCCCCCCAACAATTTTTTTTTAGTGTATATATATATAGGGGTGTGCATAAACCGGTCCAGACCGCATTTTGGACCTGAACCGGACCGGAATGGACCGGTCCGGACCGGTCCGGAGTATACTGGTCCGGTCCCCGGTCCACTAAAAATTGAGATTCCGGGTTCCGGTCCGGTCCGGGTCAAACCCGGAAAATAACAGGTCCGGACCGGTAACCCGGTTATGAGGATATAGAGGAATGTTCAGGTCCGAACATTCCCCGTCCGAACACCGTCCGAACATTCCCCGTCCGAACACCGTCCGAACAACGCCGTTCGGAGCGGTTCCCGGTGGATTTTTTTGATGATATTTTTGTGGTATGTTCTTCATCAAGTGTAGTTTCCCCGTACCACATTTCATATCAACATTCGATCGGGAAGACCTTCAAATGATTTTTTGAATTTGACTGCGCCAAATTATACATAGAAAAACGCAGTCAACTTCAAAAACTCTTTGAAGGCCTTCTCGGTGGATTTTTGAGCTTAAATTTGGTATGGAGAAACTAGACTTGATGAAGAACATACCATAAAAATTTCATCAAAAAATTCTACCGGGAACCGCCCCGAACTGCGTTGTTCGGACGGTGTTCGGACCTGAACATTCCTCACACGGTTATTACTACTACCTCCGTCCCAAAAAACTTTGCCATTTTAAAAAATTTGAACATTGATTTTCGCCCCCCAATGACTTTCCTTGTCCGCCTCTGCTTCCAGTAATAATCATAAGGACCAGAAAGAGGCGTGTACCGTGATAGTAATCACGCTCCCCGTCCCACAGGTAATCAACGGCACCACTGGGCTGGCTGGACGAGGAGCTGGCAGAGCGAGACCAAGTGTTTGAAGAGTGAACGGAGCGGTTGAGAGTTGATCCAGAAGCGGAAGAGGTAGTGATTTTGGCAAGTGTAGCGGCGGAATGGAGCAGCGACGCTAGGTTTTTTGCATTGGAGACGGGCATGAGCGAGATCGAGTTGAAAAATGTGGGTGAAAGAGGGAGTTGAGATCGATTCCGCCGGGCAGATATCACTTTGGAAGAAATATGCGTTCGGTAAGGTCGGACGTTGGCCAAAATGATGATCCATCTTGGTTACCGCCACTCTTAGTAATGCCAAAATGATGATCCATCTTGGAGTAATAATTATAGGCTAGAAATAGCATTTTGGGTGTGTAACGCAAGAAATATGGAAATTTTCACAAATAAATCTAAAAAACTGAATAATACAACTCTTTATCAGTTTTGTTTCAAAAATAGATCTATACGGAGTATAAATTTTGTTTTCACAAATGGACCGGGTATATAAAACCCTCTTCTCTTGGAGCAACTTGGAAGCTCTACTCTTCGCAACACAAGCGCCTTAGCCCACATAGCTACTCCATCTCATTGATAAATTAACTAGATTTACACCCGTACGATGCACGGAATCAAATTTAAAAAAAACTTGCATTCTATTCTGTTTAAATATTACATGTTAGTTTATAGCAATAGAATGGAAGAGTTATATTACATTCGTCCCACTCAACTTTGCCAAGTTGATGTTATGTGAGAAATTAGAATAGTAAAATTTGTGTGATTGATGTTTGTGCAGAGTAGAGAGAAATGAACAGAGCCACAAAAACATTGCTTTAAAATGAAAGTGACAAAATTTTTTTAGACAAACAAAAAAGGAAAGTTGGCAAAGTCCAGTGGCACGGAAGAAGTATATAACAATGTTCAACTCTTTCAAATATTTGAGCGTATAGTTCATTTTTCAATAGAGGCCAAACACGGAGTATCAACATTTTCCAATATAGGGGTCAAATATACCGAGTACTATTTTTCCCAAAAAAAAAACAAATTACAAAATATCAAATTATATGAATTTTTATCATTTGAAACCCAACTAAAATTTTTAGCCCAATTCTATAATTTAGTCCAAGTAAATAACTCGAAAACAATCCGATACAAAAACTAATCACCCCACTAAAATCGTACATAAATAAATTTAGTGTTAGGGTTTGAATCCTTAGACCTTATTTCCTCTTTCTACAATTTTTTTCTCCATTGATGATTACCCATTTCACATACTACATATTTCTCTTCATCTATCTTTCATCCTCTTTTGAGTTTAAAGCCCCATTTCTCGTTTGACCATTTATTGTCCCAGTGACGATCATACCCGTGTTTGCAGGGAAAATGTAGAAGGAATTGTCAAATTAGAAATAAAAATGTTTGTCAATTCCAGGATGAGATTACTATATTTTTATTTCTATTTACTAAAATTTTTGAAATTGTTTCTAAATAGAAAGTTACTATTGAAATTTTTGAAATTGTAAAACATTAGTCATAACCGTACTAATTACTACATGATTTTAAATAAAGAAAAAAAATATAATGCTCTTATTTTAAAATTTTAGAACATTTTTTGCTCATATTTCGGAAATTATCTTTGTGTCAAAACTTATACTCACTCCGTTCCAAATTGATGATCTTATACTTTTTAGGCTCAAATATTAAGAAAATATGGTAGAAGGACTCGTATTACCTTACTATATTGTACTTTTCACACGTTTACTTTTAGTGATCATTAAAAAGGAGGGATATAAATGATAGTCCATTTTAATTTCTTTACCAAAAAGGGTAAGATAACTATCATTTTGGTACACCCCAAATAGGAAATACAGAACCATCATTTTAGGACATAGATAGTATTAACTATTTTATCATTCAAATTATCGAAATTAAGCAAAAAAAATCAAATACGGTACAAAACAGGATACTTTTGGAATAAAAAGTAAATATAGAGGCTGTTTGCCAACCCTCATTTTCGGCTTATCAGCTAACTTTTTAACCAAACACGTAAACTTTGCTTTCGCGCGCTGAATTGTGTAATGAGCCAAAAAAGTAAGGTTGGAGTTACTTTTCTGGCTGTATTGGCTGAAGTTACTGTAGATGATCATTTTAGCTAATTTTACATATAATTTTTTCTTTATTTTATTAATAAAATATATTTTAAAAATATTTTTTTCTTGTATCAGCAGAATCAGCCAATGCAGCCATTTCAGCCAGAACTTCGTAAATTTCACCAGAATCAGCGAAAACAGTTCATTTTCGTGCTACCAAACGGGCTCATAATTACATGAACATCATCTTTTGAGATAAAAAGTAAACATTTCAGGACCCAAGTAAAAAACACTCAATACTAAGTTTAACAAATAGAGTCATCGTGATGGAGGAACTACAATTAAAACTAAAAATGCAAAGCCAGGCACTCCACATCGAGGCACCAACCCGGTTGTCTCCGAAGTCCGAACCAAGATAAACAACTGCCTAAAATCGAGATTGACGTGTTCGACCCACAAATGCATACAGAGTTCCAAAAAGCTAGCCCCAACCTTTATTACCCACTAACATCTCAAGAAGATCGTAACCCTAGGTTCCTTCATGGGTGTCCATCCGACCATCCTCAAGACGATCTGACCCGTCATCACTAAGGAACCCTATGCTTCGTAGTCCGTTGAGGCCGCCAGAGAGAGAAGCAAGTAATCTGGAAATGGACTCACTTGTTCGGAGAAGTCAGCAGCGTGGGGGCCAGAGCCTTACATCATGTCGTGTCCATACAGGCGTCGGCGAATGACCCCGTCCCATCCAAGTCCGATCACCATTACCGGCGGTTCCCGGCGCATATCCGGTGACGACAAGCAGAGCCAACAAATCAAAAGCCAATTTTCATTCCCAGAGCATATCCGGTGACGACCCGTATTTTTTGGCGGGAAATTGGACTGATTTCTCACTTCTTTTTGTATATAGTAAGATACCCACTAGGCCACTACAAGAATCATTCAATTTTTTGTAAATAAGTGTAACCATTCATTAATTAAACATTCAAAAGGATGACAATAAGTAGAGAATATTACCCGAAATAAGACTAAAACAGTTTGAAAATTCCAAAATAGGATTGTCATATTATTTCCAAAATATGACTAATTACTATCATGTTTAGAAATTATTGGCATGTTTGAAGTTTTGTATTGTCAAAACATGGCAATAATTAGTCCTATTTCGGGAACTTTCTCTAATAAGTATAGTTATAAATAATAAGTCCAATAGCAAATGAAATTACAAATAAGTAAATAACTGAAATTAAAAAACAATCCAAAGAATGCATGATAAAAAATGCAAAATTGATACTATTACATAAAATTCAAATATAGAAGTTGAAATTAAAATTTAAAAAATAAAATCAGAAAAATGTAAAAAAACGTGTAGACAATTTAGAAATATAAAAATCGAAAAAGATTGTAAGAAAGTTATTAATAGCTTAAAATGTGGGGAAATCATAAATCAAATAGTCCGTATAAATATGATATTGTGATGTAATTTTCTAAAAATAGTTAATATAATTTAAATAAAAACGTGAAGTATAAGTTGTCAAAAACATTAAAAATCCAAAGATAAATAAAAAAGTTTGAAATAATTAAAAAAATCTAATAACCTAAAACTTATTAAGTATGTTGAGGTTAATTCTTTCAACTCGTAGGCCCAACACGAGTCCCAAGGGTTTCGAACGGAAGAATGAGTAAGTTAGATGAAGAACAAGCAAGGAAAGACTCAAATAAGAATTTCAATACAGTGATTCAATTACAAAGCCGAAAGGCCGTTCGTGCAGTGCTGGGCTATGAGCTGATATAATTACTAGAATGCTAGAGTGCTAAATTGCGAACCCTTTACAGTGAAATAAATGCTACTATTTATACTGCCAATGGGTGGTTGGATGTGTTGACGTGGCTGGTTGTGGACGGCATGATCCCAACCACCAAATCTTCTGCATTAAATGCATTTCCAGCCAGGATCTTTGTTTCCCGTCACGGGATGGGGACGTTCGTCCCCAAGGGCTTGGGTCATGTCTCCTGCTGGAGTCCTCATCCCCTGCCAAGGGGCGGGGACGTTCGTCCCCATGCACTTGAGCTATCCTTGAGCTATTCTTGGCATCATGTCAAGGGGTGGGGACGTTCGTCCCCATGTACCCTGCGGGAGTCTTGGGCCTGGATACCTGCCGATAAAGGGGTACGTACGCGGACAGGTAACCCCTCGTCTTGGGCTTCCAACGGGCTGTTCGTAGGAGGTCCTCGTGGGCCTTCTGAGGACGTTCGTAGGAGGCCCTTATGGGTTGATGGGCCATTCGTAGGAGACCCTTATGGGTTGATGGGTCGTCCCCTGTTGGGCCATTAACCCAACATAAGTCTCCCACTTCTGATGTTCTGAGAGTGCGCGGAACATAAGAAAGTAAAACGCTTCCGCCGTATCGCCCTAAGTCGAAGTCCCTGACGTGACAGTTGCTCTTCTGGTTATTGTTCACAGGGCTCTAGGTGACGGTTATGCAGGCTGGTTCAACTTCCGATGAAAAGGAAATCATTACAATCCTGTCCGTTTCCTCGCGGCACGTTTCCATGGGTACGCTCCTCGCCACGTGTCGGCAGTGGATTGGACAGTGGGGAGGTGTATCCTCCTATAAATACTGGATTTCCTGTCGAGATTAGGGTTTTCAATCCTCTGCTTTTTTCCTCAAATGCTTCGACGTTCTTCTTCAAGCGTTCTTCGGTTCTCTTACCTGTCTATCTCCCCAACTCGCAAGGTAATTTGGCTTTGCTTTTTTGCTTTCTTCCTCTTTTAATCCTTGTCATGGTCTGCTATATGGAAATATCTTCCCAATTGGATCCCGTCTCTGGTTCTTCTACCAGTTCCTCTTCTGCCTCGGATTCCAGGTCCCGTTCCTCAGGGAATACGGGTACTTTCAGTCACTTCGGCGCCTCCACTGTGGTGGGACATGTCGCGGCGGACAGAGCCGCTCCCGAAGGTGCGGGATAAGACGCTGGTGTGGACGTTGCTCCTGAAATCACCCAGATGGTAGGGGCCCAACCAAATCTGGGGGCAAATCGCCATGCTGACTATGACTCCGGACACGAGGCCATTGAAGGGAATGATCTGCAGGTGCTTGATCTAGGCATCCCCATGGACATTCCCCGACACATCGTGCTTATCCACAACGTTGTCGTGATTGATCAAGCCTTCTCACGTAGGGCCTTAAAGGAGTTGCAGACCCTCTTTCCCTCACCGTTCATCTACATCCTCCGTGGCGCTGACAATCTTTTCAGGAGACACCCGGGGATGATCATGGTGCACATGGATTCCCTAAAGGTCAGACTGTGTTTCCCTCTTCACCAGTTCTACCTTGATTTCTTCCACTGCTATGACGTTGTCCCGGCACAATTCAT